GTTACCTTAACAATTTTTATAGTGGGGATCATCCCCTGAGAGAGGGAACTCTCTTAGAGACCTGTTCCTGAAATGATAGAAGAGGTACACAAATCAAAGAAGTCAATATATCTTACTATTTCTTTATTAACAATAGAATACAAGTTTAGACTTTGCCAGTCAACAGAATACATGTCGCCATATTGAAACAGGACTTACGACCTGCTAAGCCGCGCACATATAAGCAAATAGCACTACGTACAGTTCTACCGGAATAATGAAATTAGCAAATAGTTCATTTTCTATGTTATTGACAATGAAAATAAATATACAGGGTGTTCCAGAAAGAAAATTAAAAGTGCAAAATGGAAAATCCTAAAAACAACAATTGAAGCAAAATTTTCACGGACCCAAAAGAAAACTAATATACAGGGTGTACCAGAAAGAAAATCCCAAGTTCAAAACAATGAACATTCAAAACTCACAAATAAAGACAATCTTCTACGTGTGGTTAGGAAAACTAATATACAGGGTGTTACAAAAAGAAAATTTTCGAGACTACAAAGATAATCAATATTCACATCATGACACGGGAAATTTATATGGAAACAACATTATTTTAATATAAATTAAAAGATTTCACATGAAAATGATCGGGAAATTAAGCAAAAAGGTGCTAGAAAAGAAAACAATTACATTTTAATATATTGTAAATATATATTTATTAATTAATTAAACCGACGGGTAAAATATCATCATAAATTGATAGAATATCCGGTGGAAACATCTAAATCAACAGACGGCAAGCGACGGCGCGTGGCATTACTGTCTTAAAAATACGATAAAATAACTAAGTAATTCTTTGTAAATATTAAGATATACGGAGACTACGAAAACGAAGAACTATTCACCGTACAAGATTTTATTATGTCAACAAGGGACTTCTTAATTTAATGATGCTAACAAGTGCAATTCGATTAAAAACGTTCACGTGTTCAGCGAAAGGTTGACCGAGCCGACGGGCGACGGCAAACTGAGCGCGATCGACCACATGAATATTGTCATTTTAATAATCTACAGATTATTTTTAAAACCGTCATGGTAATAATTAAATCATGCATGTTATTTTCGGAAACGGGACTAATAATTCTGATAGGAATGGAACAACGTGTTTGTAATTAGCAAGATAATACAAGCAAAATTAATATCACTCAAATGGAATAATCAACTTAAGTTACACCGCCTTAAGTTTCCGTGAAAAAAATTTATTACACACGTACCTTTGCATTGATGAGGAAATTCTATATCCTGTAATATATTCGAACTAACCAAAAACTCGCGTAGGAATAAACAAACACATATTTCTTAGTTAAGAAGACTCTAACCGCGACAAATCATTAAACAAAACAGCCGCACATGCCCGTCCCGAATATTTTGCTGATGGCCGAAAGAGAATACTACGTCGATTAATCCAATTAAAACCCTCAAAACGCGTGGCGATTATAGGACACGACTGCGGACCACGCGGTGTAACGACTGCGGACCACGCGGTGTAACGACTGCCGTGTACACCGCGTGTAGCTAGGTTCAAGGCAGGTACGCAGCGATAACACGCGTCAGTTTAACAAAAAAGTTGTTTATACACAAACGTACTGATAAACACGTAGTTGAGAATACTAAACTAAAATTTCACAATATTGAAATAGCACATATACACGAAATCTACTGTTACTTTCAATATTTATCATTAAAACTACAATTACTAGCGCAACGAGTACAAGTGCGTATACACACAACTATCATTATAACTCGCGTTACGGAATTTTCTCGCAATAAATTTCTATACAGGGAAATTGAGAATTAAATTCCGCATCTGGGAAAATTAATTCCGAACTAAGTTTGAGACCGCGTTCGCGTGTTATAATAAAAACTACAATTACTAGCGCAACGAGTACAAGTGCGTATACACACAACTATCGATATAACTCGCGTTACGGAATTTTCTCGCATAAATACTATACAGGGAAATGAATTTAAATTCCGCATCTAGGAAAATTATTCCGAACTAAGTTTGAACACCGCGTTCGCGAGTTATACTAAAAAACTACAATTTCTAGCGCAACGAGTACAAGTGCGTATACACACAACTATCATTATAACTCGCGTTACGGAATTTTCTCGCAATAAAATATTAATACAGGGAAATAAAAATTAAATTCCGCATCTGGGAAAATTATTCCGAACTTAGTTTGACACCGCGTTCGCGTGTTATACGCTAAAAACTACAATTCCTAGCGCAACGAGTGAGTACAAGTGCGTATAAACGCAACTTTCATTATAACTCGCGTTACGGAATTTTCACGCTATAAATTTCGAAACAGGAGATACAGAATTAAATTCCGCATCTGGGAAAATTTATTGCGAACTAAGTGTAAGACCGCGTTCGCGTGTTATAATAAAAACTACAATTCCTAGCGCAACGAGTGCTACGGTGCGCATACACACAACTTTCAATATAACTCGCGTTATGGAATTTTCTCGCAATAAATTTTGATACAGGGAAATGCAGAATTAAATTCTGCATCTGGGAAAATTATTCCGAACTTATTTTGAGACCGCGTTCGCGTGTTACAATAAAAAACTACAATTCCTAGCGCAACGAGTGCAACTACGTGCGCACACACACAACTATCAATATAACTCGCGTTATGGAATTTTCTCGCGATAAATTTCAATACAGGCGGATACAAAGAATTAAATTCTGCATCTAGGAAAATTATTCCGAACTTGTTGTGAAACCGCGTTGGTAAAAAGCCACCACGTGTTTATAATCTACAAAATTGATATCCCTCAAATTGAATAATCAATTTAAGTTAAACTGCCTTAACTTTTCGCAAAAAATTTTAAGTATTCACCTACCTGTGCATTGATGACATTTTCTATTCTGTAATATATCATATCAAGTGAAAACTCACGAAGCGATTAACGGACACTTATTTCGCAATAAATTTCGATACAGGAAATAAAGAATTAAATTCCGCATCTGGGAAAATTATTCCGAACTAAGTTTAAGACCGCGTTCGCGAGTTATATCAAAAAAACTACAATTCCTAGCGCAACGAGTGCAAGTACAAGTGCGTATACACACAACTATCATTATAACTCGCGTTACGGAATTTTCTCGCAATAAATTTTGATACAGGAAATGAAGAATTAAATTCTGCATCTTGAAAAATTATTCCGCACTAATTTTGAGACCGCGTTCGCAGGTTATAGCAAGAAAACTACAATTCCTAGCGCAACAAGTACAAATGCGTATACACACAACTATCATTATAACTCGCGTTACGGAATTTTCTCGCAATAAATTTTAATACAGGAAAATACAGAATTAAATTCTGCATCTGGGAAAATTATTCTGAACTTATTGTGATACCGCGTTCGCGTGTTATTCTAAAAAAACTATAATTCCTAGCGCAACGAGTACTACGGCGCACACACACAACTTTCAATATAGCTCGCGTTACGGAATTTTGCCGCAATAAATTTTAATATAAGGAAATACAGAACTAAAGTCTGCATCTGGGAAAATTATTCCGAACTTATTGTGACATCGTGTTCGTGTGTTATACTAAAAAAACTACAATTTCTAGCGCATCGAGTACTACCGCGCACACACTCATCTTTCAATATAGTTCGCATTACGGAATACGGTGCTCTGAACACGAGTCACTTCTACCGCTACCCTCATACGGTGCCCTGATTCCTAGCGCAACGAGTATTACGGCGCACACATACAACTTTCAACATAACTTGCGTTACGGAATTTTCTTGCATTAAATTACAGAACAGAGAGAAACAGAATTAAATTCTGCATCTGGGAAAATTATTCCGAACTAATTGTGATTCCACGTTCGCGTGTTATTCCAAAAAAAACTACAATTCCTAGCGCAACGAGCATTACAGCGCACACAATAAAATGTAAATTAAAAATGTAAAATTAAAAAGAAAAGGTAGGAAAGCCAGAGTGATAGATAAATAAAACATCAATATGAATTTTATTGCGATCCTAAAATTTTCTTTACGACGGGTTCTTCAGATACGCCACAAGCCAGACCAAATGTGTCGGCCGACGGCAAGCCATGTACACACACGGGAAGAAATTTAAATTGTCTATTAAAACACGTCTCCGCGAATGAAGCATTATGACATCAAAAGAAAATGCAAGCTAAGAAAAATGCACGCTATTAAATCGATGATTGACATGGAAAAAGCAAAGTCTGCAGCGAAACCGAAGACGCATTCGACGGCACGCGTCAATTTTGAGTTATTACGGTACTCACGTTACATGTGATTTAAGACAAAAATGTAATTAATTATGATTTAATAAAGTTTATAAACTTACCAGTGTGTCGGATAAGAAAGTACTGAAACAAACTAAAGCACGTGTGTGAGAATTCGCACTATGATGCTCACTTCTTTAAATCCGTTCCGTCGCATAATGAATATGCACTATTTTAACCGACATTATTCCCGCGATATCCTGTCAAAGACAGACGTTAATTACACTAACTCAAAACTATTCATAGGATACATATTCCTATTTTAAATTCTCAGCATCAAAGTAATCCAATAGCCGACGGACCACTAACGCATAGATGAAGTACAAGTTGTATTATCATTTTACCAGGAACTCATCTTTCGCAAAACACTATACACGTCTATTGTTATTAAGTGCCGATATTTATGCCGATTTTTAATTAATAAATAATAACAGTAGTTAATGTTTTGTAGTTTATGTAATCGAAATGTATAAAAGGAAGATGCCGACCGGCGTGTAGGTAAGAACAAACTGAAATGGTCGAACGTTCGTAGCGTGAACGCAACATTGCGCGCCTTTATCGCGATAAAAAAGTTGTTTATACACAAACCCCGATAAGTGCGTAGAATTGAAATCAAAACATTTCTGATGTGCCCGAAAATAAAATATAATATAATGTTTCACATCAGTTATAAATTTCGACGCAACTTTACAAAGAGGATAAAAACTATTGCTCCAATGGATCCCGAGATACAGCCAAATTTCCCTCGCGTGTTTCAAAAATTCATGAAAATCGTGAAAGATTGCTATGATTATCATGTTTTTTGTGTCACAACCCGTATTTGGGGGTGACAAGTTTCCGATTACTTTTACTTACATGGTAGCTCTTGTATTTCCTAATTGAGGACTAACAAGTTCTAGACCAAATTTGAGTTCAGTAAGTCTGACGTTCGATACACCTATTACCAATATCACTTTTTAGTACTTTTAGTGGCGTCTTTTTCACCTTTTACTATTGGAAATATAATTATTTTCTATTTTTCTCTGATAGAGAAATTTCCAGTCTTTTATAATCAGCAAAATGTTGGTTACTATCTCTTTTAGTTTAAGAGATATTAATTATCGAAAATCATCGATAAAAATTATCAAGTACCCCCCTTTAGCAATTTTTTCTTAAGAATAAAAATTTCATCTCTTAGATTTCCGTTTTAACTGTCCTATCTTATAGAAAATAGTCCGTAGATTAAGATGCTGCGATCGGATCTTAATTATCTCTTTTCGTTTACGAGATATTCGCGATTGAATAAAAAGGGCAAAAATTGAAAAATGTCACTTTTTAGCACTTTCAGTGGAGTTTTTTGACCTTTTACTGTTGGAAATATAATTATTTTATATTTTTATCTGATAAAGAATTTTCCAGTCTTTCATAATCAGCAAAATGTTGGTTGCTATCTCTTTTAGTTTAAGAGATATTAATGATCTAAATCGCCGATAAAAATTATCAAGCACACCACCACCCCACCCCTTGGCTACTCTTTCGTAATCTAAATAGTAGAACGCAGTATACGAAAAGCTGTAGTTAGTGTATTGTTAATTTCTAATTCTGAGATAAAATACCCCGAATAACACTAACAAGACACCCGATTTATATCTGCGCTAGCCTGTCGGAGATTATTCTAATTATTTACTTACCAGTCGTCTTCCATACATCTACGGCAAGAACTGTAACAAAATAACACTATGTAAAACATTTTGCACGACACTTCGATACTGCATATCAAGTACCGTCAGGTAAAAACTTGTATTAAAACATGGTTTATCTATATTGAATGATATGTTTTACTTACAAGGTAACATGTTCGCACAACCCAGGCTTTGTAATCCACGACATCCAAGAGCCGACAGAGAATAACTTCCCGTTTACTAATATTACACATTTGTTATTATTACATGGCGTTGATTCGTAATCAAATATAACTCGATTTGCCGGATTAATTGCTATCGGAACATGGCAACTCGCGAAAAAACTACACACATGTTTCACCGTCGACAAGTCATTTGCAACTGCGCGAATGTAAGGCACTTAAGTTTCATGTAGCGTGTGAATTCCGATAGCACACCGGCTCAAGGACGTAAACCAACAAACAGATAATAGATAAAAATAATACCTGCTGCACCAATTCGCGCGATAGATTATTGATAGATTCTTTGATATTTACCAACTAGCATTTGTTTCAGGTACACAATAGTTTGCCACGGGCAGTATACAAATAAAAATTTAAGATTTAACCATTTTATTGCAGCAGATTGCAGAAAACGTAACTAAACAAAAAAATAGACACTTTTATGATTCATGCTGTCAAAGATAAATTTCAAGTGATCGCAGAAACAAAATTATTATGATATATAAAAATTTATTAATACAAAAAAGTACTCATAAGATTATATAACTCACTATATAAACTACATGTAACATTGCTTCATATTTTGTTATTTTTTCATGTTTTTGTTTCTATCATCTTATTTGTAAACATTTATCGTTTTCGGATTATTCGCTACGTTTCTTTATAAATAATTGTTCATGTTCTATCATCCATATGCACTACAAGTTTTCTCATCTCGTAATTATAATAATTAATTATTAGTAGTCGTAATAATGTAGTAATAAGGCATTGTAAATATTTCGTATCAACTAGCATTAACTAGTTCGCTGCTCGTATTAAATACTTTCAATAAGGCATACAATATTTTTGTTGGGAGGATGGATAGATAGGGCTGGGCGTGTGTTAAGGGGTTGGTGCATCATCTTATTTAGTAATACGCAAAGAATACGCGTCTCGCTGGAGTGCTGTGGCTTGTATTTTAGGCCTGGCCGTTTGTCACCGGTCCAGCAGGAAGCTCAGCGTTTCCATTCATCTTCGGGAAGTCATTGGTCATCGGCTTAGTGGGCGTTGTCGCCGGGCTAATGATTTGATACACTTCACCAGTGACTGGGTTTCTCTCTAAAAACAGAAAAATATTTATTTTCAAAATGCACAAATGTTTTATAATCAATTCTACCTGAGTGAACTTTCGGTGAGCGATTAGCTTTGTTCTCCCATGTTTGGACGCCATTGCCAGTGACTGGATTACGATTTTTTACATCTAAACAAAAATAAATACATACTTTTAGAGATTTCACTGGTTGTTAAAACGTGGAGATATTATTACCGTGCTTAGTAAGAGATGCACGCCTTGGTGTAGCGACTTGAATTCCAGATTCGCCAAATAAACGATTGAAGGAGTCAGAACCACGACGTCTTGGAGTACTGGCTCCATCTACAACGGTGCGTCCATTGGTTTGTTTTCCACTTGAGGGTGGTGTAGCCAAGACGCTGTGGATTTCGGTCGGTGGGTTGCGAACCCTACAAAAAAAAAAAGAAAATAATCTTTAATTTACTATATTTAACGGTTTGAAACAGTCAACTGTGACATTATAAATTCAACGATCCTAACTAACTTTAACACCTTGCATTTTAACCAAAAATGTATGCAACACGTTAACTACCGTCTGCTCTATGTTGTAATTAGTGCGCTCGTAATTGTAAATCGTAATTATTCTACTTGAGCACGAAGAAACATTACTTAATGCATCTTGTACTCTGTACGTTGTAGTTATAATTATGATGCAATCCGTTTTGACCGGTCTTCAACTAACCACCGTTCCGCATTCGTCAGCATCAGACCTGTGCTTAGTTACTACGTACATAGCATACGTACATTGATTCATATTGAGAAGAAATATCGCGCACGTGAAGCACGTACGACACGTATTCACTGATACGTGTAGCCCCGCTGCTCGCGTTTACTCAAAGTGCTTGCGCTTTTTATGGCATATCATACGAGCTTGATTACCCACCAACAGGCTGACTCCAACAGGAGAGAAAAAAAAACTAAGACGAAGATCTCGAAAATTACCGAGTGCTGGACGCAGTCGCGCTTTGCTATGAGAAATTAGACCGGCGTAACGACGATAATTTTTGTAATTGCTTATTAACGATTAATGCATTGAAGCACTCGTGGAATGAATGCATGAGACGCGAGGAGCGAAGAAAACAAGTGAAGCGCCAACTTTTAATCAACAAGCTTCCAAGACTCTGCTGCGCGTAATGAATGCAGATGGTAAATTAATTTCCGTGTAGCTGTATTATACACTGTACTACTACAATCTTGCATTTATCCATTGAGTTTTTGTTTTTGTTAATTAACGTTCGCGTCTACGCTTTACGACCAGTTATTAACGTTGCAGATATAAGAAAATCATATCATATTTTGTTCTTATATGGCAACTGTGCAATCATATTTTTAGTGGTGCCATCTTACAGGCATGTCCGTAATATTGTTTCTGATATTATCGAAGAAGCAAAAAGCTGGTAGTCGTGTTATGTTTCTGGCTTCGAATGGAATTAGTTATTTATTCATGAATTCACGTTGGCGCAACTCCTCACCTTAACACTGATCTAGACATACTACAGACGTATTTCAGTTTAAATTGTGCCTTGTTACCTTGTTACCTCGCATGTCTAGTACTCCAACAATGTCTGCTAGGTATGCGTAGATAACTGGTATTTAAATATTCATTCAAAGTAAATTTTCTTTTCAATCAAGATTCAATACTGCTCAAAGCAGATGTCGAATTCATTGGACTTAATTTACATATGTAGTTCTTCGAGGTCTTGAATTCTAAATTGTTGCATATCTTTGGCAATCAAACAGTATACTCGTACATTGGAAAATCAGTTTTATGATTTGGTTCGAAATAGTAGGAGAGCGCTCTTTGCCAGCACACCGTACCCCCTCCCCTTTTTGTAGATCTCATACGAAAATACAGTATACCTGCGGCAATTAGTCAATAAAAAAATCAATCAATCAATTTCCATCAAAACTTATTTCATTTTGATGTATCTGTTTGTGTTTGTTGAACACGACGTCGATGAATCGATGTTGCCTGACAAACAGATCACAAAAATAGAAAGTAAATAATTTAGTTGATGAATTCAGTACAAACTGAAGGTCAAGTTCGTATTCTAAGTTAAATATTGACCGAAGACAGGGAAAAAAAATTCAATTGCAGCAATTACCACAGATAAACAGTCAAATATCAGTCACTTTTACTACGAGTCGGCAAAAAGCACTGACAATTTTCGGTTATGTATTTCTCTACTGTATGTAGTTTAAATAAATTCCATGACATTGTGACAAGTTACACATATTCTTTCGTCAGTGGCAATTGTCGGCATCAAGAATCCAGAAATCCGTAATAACAGTACAGCGGCATTGCCGGTCGTCGGAAAAGTTAGATGTACATTCTCTTCTATTCTCTGCTATTTCGAAGAATGATGCAACATTCCGTGTGCTCGCTGCGCGCATCGTGTGCATTCGAGGTAATTTCTTTTCGGCGCGTTAGCTATGTCAGTTAATTACAAAGTTTCCATGTAAAAACAAGTAACATTGCTTTTCTTTTAAGAAGCACTCTGCGCTGTGAGTGCTTCTTACTTTATTTTTAAAGTCGTCACTACCAGTAGTTAACAGTAGGCGATAAGTTTATGTTGTATCTACAAGTTCATTAGTTCATGTCATTATGCATAGATTAGGTTATGTATAGAATGCATTGTGATTTATTCATTATTGCCAAATCTTTTTCAACACATCTTTTGATCGTTATTGAAACGCAGCAAGCAATCTTAATAATTTATGCCTTACAAAGTTTCGAAATAATAATTCACAATTAGTTCTCTTTCATTTTCGTTTGTTCCATCAACTTTGATTTCTATCGTCCGCTTTCGAACGTAACAAACGTTTTATCATTATCTCCAATTCTGTGTTGTCTTAGATTTAGATTTAGGAGCAATAAGAGCAATCAAACCGCACCTTGTTCGTGAAAATAATTCCTATAATAATCTTGTATGCTATGCAATAAAGGCAGGAAGGATTGAAGATCAGCTACATTCTACCAAACCCTAATAATGATGCGTTGTTGTAAATATTTGCTGGTGGATCGGAGTTAGATCATCTTTGATGATATTTTTAGTTTTATGATTGTACCTGGATTGTAACTGTAGAAACATGGCTAGCAATAATTGTAAATTGTTAGCTTCGAGCTGGTGCGCGCCCTGACCAAGCCTAACCTCAAATCTGAACAGCTCCAACCTCAAAAAATCGATTGCGTTTAATGTTAGATGTTTCGAAGTACGATTTCGATTGACGTTAGAATTACGATGAGTACAATTGTGGTGTGGCTTATTATTTTGTAGCTTTCTGTGATTTCATGATTTCAATCGTGCCCAGCCGCACACAGCGCACGTAATTGTAATTAAGTTGGATTCGTTGGTAGAATTGTACGAAATTAGCAACGCTTGTGGATGAAGGCGTAGGAATGGGTGTAGGTACGGCTCGGGCGTGAAAGTTCATTCTCTTGCTCGTCTTCTCTTCCTGGTACAAATGCAACAAACTAATTTCTCGATGTTGGGCGATTCTTTTTCAAGCTCCGATCGTTAGCGAATCGCTTCCAGGTGTCCGTTTATTCCCGGTCTGAATGCATTTCAGTTTATCGCTGTAACGACCGCGACGAGAAATCAGAAATATTTCATACGCCTCCGCACAAGTGGAATTACACCGGCGTTTGGACATTAAAGGCGAAACACGTAAAATTGAAAATAGAAATTCGCATCGCAATCAATACAGTTTCACATTTTCTCTTATTTTTCTCGAATCAATCTCAAAATCGACATGTGTGCGGACATTTAAAGGTTATAGTTAATTGGGTTGCCTAACCGGAAATAACCAAAATAACCAATTCAATTGTTCGCTGTCATTTTGCTTATTATAATTGACTGGATTCAATTAAATTTACATCGATTACATAAATCTTTCGATGTGTATTGTTTACGTCGCGTGCGCTGCAAGTTTATGGAAGTAGTAATGATTTCTTGACAAAATCAATTTGTCATCATTACGCCTTACGTTGCAACAATGTTTATTATGTTGTTACAAGCGGTCGACAATGACG